GGAAGGTGTAGGCCGATGGTCATGTGCTAGGGTTCCAAGGAATGTGATCCGAATGCCATGTCTGGGTTCATGTTTCGCTGGGCTGGAGGAGAGGCACTGCAGAGACTGATCCGGCCCTGTGAACTCCATTCCACGATGCATTTCAGGGCTCCGGGATAGCAGTAGGCTAGAGACTGCCTGTAATTTGCTATCAGGAAACCCTGAACCTGGGTCCTCTGGCCTTGGGAACCTCTTTGTTCTTTTGAGTCTGCTTTGGGGCTGCAAGACTCTTAGTTGCAGGATGCCTCCGTACCTCAGTTAAGCAAAAGCAGAATCCTCATGCTGTGATGGGGGGTGGGGGTTCTGTTTCTCGGCCACTCTTTGTCCTCTCCAGCTACAGCGACATCTTCATGTGGGGCACACTGGATATCTTGTTTTCAGGCAGAGAACAAGCATTTGGGCACACTGGGAGGTTTCTCTGATGTCTCCCGGCCAACTGAGTCACTGATCCAAGGTGTGAAAATTTTGACTTCATGCAGAGATGGATCTGCACCTCGGCTTTGACTCTTCCCAGCTGTGTGACCTTACTCAGGCTGCTTACCCTCTCTGAATCTGTTTCCTCACCTGTAGAGTGGGAGGTGGGGGGGGGATACAGTACCTGCCTGGTGGATCGGCAGTGAAGGATAAATTAGACAGCCCGTAGGTGCTCAGTACCTGACAACGCTCATTATCGTGTGGGAGAGAACCAGGATGAGAGGGGGATGCCGTGCAGGCGTCTTCCTGCAGCTGATGTTCAAATGTATGGTCTCTGCTGCAAGTTTCTCAGTGACCTCGTATTCAAAGTCAGCACCAAAGGCAGATGCTGCCTCCGCCCCTTCCCCCTCTGCCTCACCTGCGGCCACACCCTGGTAACTCCTGGGCTGCTCTGCCCATCCCAGACCTACTTCCACTCCCTGAGCTCCTTCAGGAAGGCGCCTCTGCACACATTTTCCTGCCTTACTCTCGCCTTCTCTTTTCCTTGCTCAATGCTCCTCTCTTATTGTATTGTAGCCTCCCTTGGTCACTGGGGTGTCCACTCACCTCTTTCCTTCCTCCTCCTCCTCCTCCTCCTCCTCCTCCTCCTCCTCCTCCTCCTCCTCCTCCTCCTCCTCCTCCTCCGTCCTTGCTTTGTTCCTCCACAACCCGACCACCACTCCTTTTCCGTTGACTCTCTCCACTGGCAGAATACAGAGGTACAGACTGCAACCTTGGTGTGTAGATTCATAGCAATCCCCAGTGCCCAGGCCTAGAAGCCGGTATTGGATGTTTTTTGAATGAATACTGTAAAGACCATGGGGAATTAAGTTCTGGCTGGTGAAGGTAAGGGAACAGCCCTGTGGCATAAAGAAGCCACCACTTTCCTTTTCCCAAGATGAGAGGATTAGACTTGATCTGTAGGAGACTAAGAACCCATGAGACTGACTATATCAGGGGGGGAGTCCCTTCTGCAGGGCTTTTGGAAGCCAGGGTCTCTAGCTTCCTGCAGATATTAAGAACATCACCCACGCCCACGAGACAATGAGCCCTCTCCTTGCCCTGACATTTCCTGATTGGTTCTAATAAGCTGGAGTCTTTGCTTTCTAAGAACCTCCAGCAATGTGACTTTCTGTGTCAAGTCTTTGCCAGCAGGCAGTAGCCCTGGCTCAGGGCAGGGAGGGTGCGGCACGCAGGAGGACCCTAGGCAGGGTTAGCAGGGGAGAGGTGCCTGCAGGGACACAGAAGGGGAGACAAAAAGCCTCCTTCTGTGTGGTCTGTCAGGTTTTCGTTCTTTTCTTTAAAAGAAAGCAGATTTAGAACAAGCATAAGAAAATGTGAACAAGTGTGAATGCCGGAGACTGGGTACAGAGACGTTTATCTCTAAGAGCACTGAGCTGCTTTTGTATTTAAAAAAAAAAAAAACTCCATATAGATTTGAGGGGTGGGATAGGATTATTATAGCTGGTGGCTGGCAATAGAGAGTCCATTTTAAACTGGGGACTTCTCCTTCAGGTATTTTTGAAGTGTGTGTGAACAGAGGGCATAACTGGGCCTGGGCTGGAACCTAGAGCTCTCAGATCCCTGGCTCCTCCTTGCAGGTCTCACTTTCCTCCACTCCTGGGAAGTGGGGAAAGGCTGAGGGGCCCCATGCTGTGGTGAAGCTAATTCATTAGTGACACCTCAACAGGGACCAGGCTCCTGCGGTGCCAGCGTGACTCATTGAGATGATTGCTTCACTGCCAATCTGCGTGGGCCCTGAGCACAGCAACACATTTTACCTTTACCCACTGAGAAGGACCTGGTGGGAGGGAAAGGTACAGGATCTACCCAGAGCAAGAAAAAGACCCAGAGGAAGCAGAAGGCTGGCCTCCGTGCTCCTAACTCCAGCAGCAATGCCTGGCTGGTACAGGAGCAGAGGCACTCACAGGGCTTCTGGGATGCCCACAGAGCCCAGGAGGGCTGCCTGGTGCTGCAGTGCCAGCCTGAGCATGTGGTGAGGGTGGGCTGACTAGGTTCCCTCCTCCACATCGAATGTCCCTTGATAAAGATGCTGAAGGGATGTAGGGGGTTGGGAGGTAGTCATGCCTGGCTCCCTGGTATGTGAGTACCCACCTTCTCTGAGAAATCCCCTCATGTAAGGAGAAGGGAGAGTATTGGGTTGGAATTTAACACACTCTAGGAACTTGAAGTTGAACCCTGCCTAGCTGGGGCTGGATCCCGTACCTTGGCTGAGGTCCCCACATAATTTTATTAGTTTTCCCAAGGGTAGAGGGTACATGGCTGTTTCCTAGTAACAGCCTGCCTCTGTCAGTGTCTCCCATTATCTGCTCACCCCAAGAAACGCCTTGCTTGAAGACCACTGTTTTTGCTCTGCCCTTCTGTTCCTTTAGCTCACAAATATCTATTAAGGATCAGAGAAGGAGAACCCAGGAGTGAAAAAAGGATTTTCTGGGTGGTTTTATCTCTAGGAAATTTAAGAGCAAGCCAAGTTTGACCCCAGTTGATAGATGTCATGATCAAAGTTGCCTCTGGGGTGTGGAAGAGGTGTGTGGGAACTTTTGGGTAATAGAAACAGGACATAAGGAGTGGGGATGTAGCTCAATTAGTAGGGCATCTTGCCCAGTATGCTCAAGGCTCTGGGTTTGATCCCCAGTACCACGTAATCAGAACTTAGTGGTGCACACCTGTAATCCCAGCGTTAGGGAGGTGGGAGGACCAGAAATCTGGAGGCTAGCCCGAGCTATGTGAAACTCACAAAGGAACAAAAGCTTAACAAAACAAAACAAAAAGCAGGTGACAACATTTGTCAAAATACACTCAATAGCACTGAAGGACACCCCCAGCCCTTCCTTCTTTATATCATTATTTTTAAATTTCCAGATAGATTCTTGCCCAGTCTGGTTAACACAGCTGGGGTGGCAGGTGTGAGTCACCCTATCCCCCTTTTATTGTCTCCATTCTGAGACAAGGGCTTGGCTATGTGTCCTGTTAGCCTTAAATCATTATATTGCTTTGGCTGACTTTGAACTTGCAAATCCTCTCCAGTTTCTGCTCTGAGAAAGTTCTGGGATTACAGGCCTTAGCCATCACACCTGGGTTCTTGCTGTGTGTTGTTGCTCAGGCTGGTTGACCAGCTTGGGCTGTAGAGGTGAACCAACGTGTCTTAACGTTGAGATTGTCGGGATGGTTTGGAGGACACTAAGGGCTGTCCCAACAGCCGGGTCAGAGAGGGCAGGGGGAGGAGGTGTGAGGTCTGTTGACTGAGTCCCATGGTGCCTCCTCTTGTCATCGCACAACCCTCTAGCAGATTTGCCTAATCCCTGGAGGCAGCTTTCCTCCTTGTCTCTATGGGATTAGTAATTCCTTTCTCCTAGTTTCAGCATTGTGAGTCAGAAACTCTGTTGAGGAAAAATCCCCTGGAGGGGTGGGGGTGGAAGGATGTGTTTTCTTTTACTGGGAAATCAGATGGTTAGGAGTTAGGACTCTTGAGTCACACTGCCTGGCTTCAAAGGCCAGTTTTGTGTTGTTGTTTTGTTTTGTTTTTGGGTTTTTTTTTGTTTGTTTGTTTTTCGGTCAACCAGCTAAAGTCCAATCTCTTAGGGCTTCACTCAGTGCCTCTATCTTTAAAATATGGGTAGTAGTTTTGCGCAAAGACCCGGGCACATGGATCATTGGCAGAGTGGAAGGTCGAGGAGGCAGGTCAAAAGGCTGTTGGTGAGAGCAGCCGAGATACAGAACCAAGGTGATTATCGTTGGTGGCACTCAAAGGTGGTCACTTGTTCCAGTCCTTCGCCCACCACAGTCACACGCAGACCTTGGGTATCCTCGGGCGGGCCTGGATAGCAGCTGCGGGTTTGGAGTGTGAGAGCACCAGCAATGGGCGGAACCAGGCGAGGGCGGAGTCAGACATAGTCCCGCAAATCCTCAGGTCTAAAAAAGGCCAGAACATAACATTGTTCGTAGTTAGTCCAAGATAGTCTTGAAGTGACCTCCCCCCCTCTCCGCCCCACTTACTGGACGACTGGTCACATGCCGCTGGATGTGAACCAAAAAGCAAATGACCTCGCCTTCCGGTCCTCCTCCAGTGTTCCTCTTCAATTTCTTCAGTCCCAGGTTTCTTCCTCCTGGGTCCACTCGCCTTATCAAGTGGCACGCTGAGGCAGGTGTAGACAGCGTCGGACGTCGGGGCTCAGCGCTAACCGGTTGTGTGCTAAGTTTGCGCTCAGCAACTGCCTTTGGCTCGGGCTAGCTCCCGGCAGGGCTAACTAGCCAGGGATCCGCTTAAGTTTCAGGACCCCATTCCCGCGGGCCGCCTTGGCCACGCCCCACCCCGCCCACTCTCTGCCTCATTGGCAGCCGCACGCGCGTCGGGGGTTGCCAAGGCGACGGGTCGCTAAGCTGCGAGTCAGCTCGAACTCGAGCCAGTCGGCCTCCGGCGGAGGCAGCGGGGGAGGCCAGAAGGCGGGCGGCCGAACGCGGTGCCGGGCGGCGGGGCCCAGGCGGGCGCCTCCTCCCGGCACGGCCCCCCTCCCGGCACACAGGCAGGCCGGGGCGGGGGGCCCCCGAGGCCGGAGCAGCCCAGGCCCCGTCGGGGCGGCCGGGGTGGGGCGATGCCGGGTGGTGACAGCGGCGGCCCGGGCTGGGGCCCGTGACCATGGGTATCGCGGAGTCCACGCCGGACGAGCTGCCGTCGGACGCCGAGGAGCAGCTGCGCAGCGGCGAGCAGCAGCTGGAGCTGAGCGGGCGGCGGCTGCGGCGGCTGCCTAGCGCCGTGTGCGCGCTGAGCCGCTTGCAGAAGCTGTATGTGAGCGGCACCGGGCTGCGCGAGCTGCCCGAGGAGATCGAGGAACTGCGCGAGTTGCGCATCCTGGCGCTCGACTTCAACAAGCTGGAGCGCCTGCCCGACGGCCTCTGTCGCCTGCCGCGCCTCACGCGTCTCTACCTGGGCGGCAATCGGCTGCTGGCGCTGCCACCCGACTTTGCACAGCTGCAGAGCCTGCGCTGCCTCTGGATCGAAGGCAACTTCCTGCGGCGCTTCCCGCGGCCGCTGCTGCGCCTGGTGGCGCTGCAATCGCTGCAGATGGGTGACAACCGGCTGCGCGCGCTGCCCGCGGAGCTGCCGCGCATGACGGGCTTGCGTGGCCTCTGGCTCTACGGCAACCGCTTCGAAGAGTTCCCGCCCGCGCTGCTGCGCATGGGCCGGCTGCACATCCTGGACCTCGACCGCAACCGCCTGGGAGGCTTCCCGGACCTGCACCCGCTGCGCGCACTGCGAGTTTTCTCCTACGACCACAACCCGGTCACTGGACCCCCGCGTGTGGCAGACACCGTCTTCTTAGTTGGCGAGGGCGCCGTCGAGCGCATGGCTGAGCGAGACGAGCCCATTCCGCGGCCGCCACCCCGGCGGCCAGTCCGGGCCTTTGAGGATGAAGAGGAAGAAGACCTGCTCATAGGAGGCACAGGACCCAGGGCCCTGGGGCCCGCCAGGGACAATCTCCGAGCCTTGGAAGCCCCTCCAGGATTGGGCACCTGAACCTCTGCCTTGAGTGATGGGCTTGGCTACTCTGGCAGGAGGGGCTCTAGGAAACCGTGGCTGTCTGGATATAGGGTGCCGCTGGGCCTCTTGGGGCAGTGAAGGAGTGGCACTGAGTGAGCTACCTGGCAAAGGCCTTAGGCTATCTTCAGAGACTTCTGGGTAGTAAGAAAGACTCCCCGGGCGGACCTCTGGGCAATTTTCAGACCAAGAAGTCTGGGATAGAGTCACTGATGGTACAACAGATGAGCGGGTTCTCACCTGGAACCAGGTCACCACTATCCACAGAGTCATCCCCACTCTGACACTGGATGCCCAGGGTGCCTATCACTTTCATCTGGGGTTCGGATTGCCTAGGCCTACTCTAGCTGTTGCTGGAGTAATTACCTCTGTGGTGAATTGTATGGAGGCAAAACTTGCCCTCTGTGTGTGTGTGTGTGTGTGTGTGTGTGTGTGTGTGTGTGTGTAAGGGGGGAGGTTCTGGCCAGAGGTAGGGCATAGGGACTGTCCAGGACAGAAGCAGGACACACCTTAGCTTCCCTCCGCTCTCCACCAGGTCCCCGATATCTGTACGGAGCACAGAAGACAGGGTCTCCACTCCACCTTTGCTTCTGATCTCTTCTCCCATCATGTGCTGAGAGATTGCTGGACAAAGAGATCTTCCCTCTCTTACAATCTGTGCCCTCAGATGTCAAGTTTGAAAAGAAGCCACTGTGCCTCTAGGGCTCCTGCCCCGAAGAGAGGGCTCTGCTCTCTAGGAGGCTGCCCGGGCCTCGCTCCTGCTCCCACTCTCCATGTCCTTACATGGGCACAGCCAGGGTGGCTGGCACGGCATGGGGCACTGGACGGGCACTATGTGCCTCCGAGGGGGTGAGGAGACAGGCTTTGCAATTCCCAGGGTCAGATCCAAGCAATAACAGGAGGAAGGGGCCAGAGGACACTCAGGGACACTGTCAGGGGCTGGAGCCCCAGAAGGTAGTGTTTTCTTTAGGAAGAAAAAAAACTGATTGCAAACATAAATTATATTTCTTGGAGAAAGAATGTGTGTTTCCCACATGTCTATTTATTTATAAGTCTGGGAGCACCAAGTTCCACTGCTGTGGGTGCACCTCCCCCACCCTTGTGCCCCGACTCTGTGTCAGAATGACCCTGGCCAACTGTTGTGTCCTTCCTGTCTGGGGAACAAGTGCGGGCTGCAGAAAGAAATGGTGTTGGCTCCCTGAAGCTGGTCTCCTGGCATCTTTGGGTGTCGCCTTCCCCATTCTGGCTCACAACCCTACCCTAGGTTGTGCGTGGGGGTCATCTGCAGCTTAGTTCTCAGGTTCTGGTTCTGGTTCTCCCACCAGCTGGAATCACACCAGTACCGGCCCCTCCCACTCTCTCTGTGACTGTGCTTGCTCCGTTCTCCTTTGCCTTTCTCAGCCTAAGTTCCCTCAGTTTTGGCCTCTATCACCATGGCAATGAGGGCTGATGTCATATGAGGCCAAATGGTCAGGCTCAGTCCAGTAGCTGGGCTCTGGGTAAGGAGGAGGCTGGGCGTGGATCTGGAGTGAGATAAGACTGTGGATAGAAAGGGGGAGAAGGTGGGGAGTATGGAAGCTTCAGCTTTTACAAAGAGTGCGGGACCCAACTGTAGGCTTTGTCTTTGTTGAGATGCTATCAGGGCCCTGGGCCTTCTTGGGGTCTGGTGACTTAGCGGTAAGGATTTGGGAGGTGAGGTTAACAGATGGGTTTGGCAAGCACCCCAGTCCACCAGGGACTGACCCCTGACCCAGAACTTGTCCGGTACAGGGAAACCCCTGTGGACCAGGTCTGGCCCCCTCCTAGTTCAGCTGTTGGTTGAGTGATCCTGATTAAGTCTTGATCTTAGTCCCCCGAGCCTCAGTTTCTCCATCTGTCCGATTCTCCAACCTAAGACTCTGCGCATCGTTTATCCACCATCCCTTGGTGTGGAACTCCAGGCTTCCTTCCTTTCTGATGTTTCTCCTCCCCTTCCCTGGCTCACCTGAGGCCAGATGGTCTGGAGAGTGCCCTACAATGGACTCCCCTGGGCCATCCTGAGGCCTTCAGATCCCTCTCCCGCCCCCTTTTTTCCTTTGTCCAGCTTGGCATCCTTATCTATAGCTGTTTACCGACCAAGTGGGAGCTACGGAAGCTGATGGAAGCACATTCTGTGTCTTCTGGAAAGTTTGGTTAGAGTTCCTGCAGATGTCTGCCGGCACTGTTAGGAAGCTCTCTGAGGAAATGAGGGCACCTGGGGAAGGAAGGTCTGTTGCCAGTTCCCCGGATACTACTTCCCTGGGTGGTGGAGAAAGCACTGTGTGAGGGGTTCCAACATCATCACCACCCTTACTTGGCCCCTGGGGAGAAGGAAGAGATGTGTGACATTTACAGCCTCATCTGTGGTCCCCACAGTCTCAGGGCAGTTAAAGGTGGGTCACATGGGGAGGGGACATGGAGGCTCTAAGGAGATGGGTGTGTGTCAGGTTGGGACAGAGGCCAAGAGGTGAGTGCAGGAGGAGAGGCCAAGGGAACACGAGAGTAGGGCAGAGGAGGCGACAGGGCAAGAAACAAGCTGAGGAGTTTGTGACCCGCCCATTGGCCTATTTGTGGACTCCGCTACCCAGTGCTCAGCTAAGGCTATGAGAGATCACCCCATCCTTGGCTGGCAGGCAAGTTGGCAAGCGAGATGGAGGAGAATTATAGCCTGTCTCCTCCCCTCTGACCCTCAAGTCTCCAGACTGGTTCCCAAGCCTGCGGACCAGCTGACCTCTTGACTGGCAGACAGGGTAGCAGATACTGGGATCTTAGCAGAGTTCTTTCCTAGTTTTGATACTGTCCCTGCAAGAGATTGGTAAAGGGGGGAAATGGGATGACTGGGAACTGGAGACCCTCCCCGAAAGCCCTTCCCCTCCTTCCACGCAGCCACAACACTGGCTTTCTTTGACATCTTTCCCAAAGCTTCCTCAAGACATCGGGGCACTGTGACTCTGAAGATGGACATTTATTACCACAGCCAGACGTGCCTCACAGGACGTGTATTCAGACAGGGAACGCTGCCCAAGGGCTCACAATCTAAGAGACACCACACTCGCACACATGTGCACATACAGACACATACACAGACACACACAGGACTCAGACACGGGGAGTGGATGACTTCACAAGAAACAGATGGGGGTGGCTCAGGATAGGGCATCAAGCATGTTCAGATTGTCCTTTGGGCTGTCTTTCTCAGAGAGGGAGAGGAGAGCCCAGAATTCAGAGAGGCCAGTGAGACCTTTGGAAGCAGTGTATCTGGGAGGGACTTACAGGAGAAAGTGGTCTCAGGCACATGAAGGGATGGATGGGTAGCTCAGAGCAGGCAGAGCAGGCGAGCCGGAGGCAGAGGCCCTGTGTCAGTGGCTAGGGTCTGACACCTCTGCTTGCTGAACCGCCTGTGCCAGAGTTGTTTCCTGGACTTACTTTCCCAAAGAAAAGCTAACCCAAACCCAGGCTGGTTTAGGGTGCCCCTGAAGCTACTTACCTGGTCCCAGGACTCCCTTCAATCCCTGGAATAGAAGCCAAAAACCTCTGCTTTTTATCCCCTTTCGTATGCCTTTGCACATCAGGCAAGCACTGTACCTGAGCCACACCCCAGCAGCACACACCTTTTAAAAGGGATGTTTGAACCATAGTGTAGGAAGTTGACAGGGCAGAAAGGCAAGGGTGGGAAAGCTTCAGAATGGGGGTACTTAGTACAGACAGAGGAGGCAGCTGCTGGCCCCGGATATGGGAGAACAAAGGGTCTGTGCCCCTTTTCACTCCAGAGTGGGGCAGGGCCCATGGAAATATGGGCTTCCCTTAGTGTCTATCTGAAGCAGATATAGTTTTCCTTCTGCAGTACCCTGAGAACTGGCAGGCCAGCTGCCCTGGACCAAGCAGGGAGTGGCTAGGAAATTATTGCTTCTTTGTGAATAGCGGACACCGAGGGCCCAGCAAAGGACATGGCTTGCCAGAACCACAGACAGGAGGGCACTGGAGTCCAATCTCACAGGCCCTCAGGTTGGAACTTGCCACTGGGGCTCTTTATATTGGAGAGGTTTTCTTCCAACCATAGAGAATCAACCTAGACAACAAGTCAGAGAAAGGCCACAGGTCCAGCAGGCCGACCTAGATCTCAGCCTATATTTCCTTCCCCCCACCACGACCTGGAAGGAGACATTGTCCCCAAGTCATAGCAGCTGAGCAGGTGACGGTGAGGTGGTAGTTAGGGTCCCACCATTGCTTTTTCTGCCTACCTGGGATGGTGTTAAGGGTCCTCTGGGAAGAGAGGGAGTGTGTGCCCAGCTAGGTGAGCTCCAAAAGAGGCCCTGTAGATCTATAGGAGAGCTGACTACATCTAAGCATGACTTAGGCCTCACCTAGGACATGCAATGCTCCCTGGTGAGCGTGGAGATGACAGTCTAGATCTGAGGGTGGGCTGGAAGCTCAGGCAGGCCCAAGCCACTGATGAAAAATCAAGTCCCAGAGGTGACAAACTGAATGGAGATACCCCCAGGCTCCCCATTCTCCCCACTCCCAGCTGCTGCTTCCCTTGGGGGAAGAGAGGGCTGGAACCCACAGAGGAAATAGCCAAGGCCCTACTTTTTCACGATTCTTTATTTATCAGAACAGGCCTTGCCACAAAAAGCAGGGCCCATTCCCACAAAAATATGATTTTGCAAAGAGGAAGATTTTGCTGGCTTAGAGGGTGCATATGGTGGAAAATGTTGTATGGTTCTTTTTCCCTTTTTTTTTTCTTCATTTCTCTTTGCTGTAATTTTTCTTTTTTTTTGTGATAGTGGATTTTTGTTTTATTTTTTATAAAACACTTGCGCTCAAGGACTCAAACACAATACAAACAGTTGCCACCAGTTCCCACCCCGGGGACCCAGCTGAGCTGGGAATCCCCTTGGCTTTTTAAAATTTTTTTTTTAATTTTTATTTTTTGTGGCTGTTTTCCTTTGTCCCTTCCCTGGCCTCTGGTGCTGGAGGGCAGGTGGAGGGGTGTGCTGGGGAAGGTGGGATTTGTATAGCAGTTACAGGGAGAAGATGGTCACAAGAAAAGATACCTAAACGACATAACAGCTAAGTCTAGGGTGCCCACAAGATGTCAGATGACACTCATAAAGGGGCTTGGGACACAGTGAAGAGACAGATTGGCTCTGGTGGTCCCTCGGAGGCTCTGTGGGGTAGGGTGGATGGGCAGGTGGGCCTTGCTTTCAGGTGTCAGGGACAACTTGGCTCTGGGTAGCACCTTCAGAGCCCTCCTGCCTCGATCCCCCGGGTCAGGTGATAGTGGCCTCACAACCTCCCCCATGAGGTAGGTGAAGTATTATTACCATCATTTTACAGATGGAGAAACTGAGGCCCAGGGAGTGTGGGTGACTTGCCCAAGACCCTAGGAGGGTGGTAGCAGAGCTCTGGTGCCCTCCCCACCCTCAGGTTCCCCCCTTCCCCGGCTCCCCAATTGCCCTAACTATCCCATACCCAGACTCCTTCTCGGCCACTGCCTCTTGTGCAAACCCACTCTGCTGAGTGCACCTTTTGGGGACCTCTTGCCGGTATCCCCCACTCCAGCTACACGTGGGGGCTGAGGAATTCCAGGTTGGGTCACCAGCGTCCCTAGGTAGGTCTCAGGGGAACCAGCTCTGTGGGTGATGCTCTCTGAGCTGATTGGCTAAGAAATGCAAGAGCGTGTCTCCCATAAACCCTGCCATTCTTACTCCCATTGGCAGGAAGTTGGTTGGGCCCCTCAGATGGTCCTGTGGGAATGCTCAGGGAACTGAGGCAGGTGGAGTAAAGGATAGCAGCAATTTCTCTCTCACTTCTAGACTCTTGAAAGTACCCTCTCCTATTTCCACACAGCCTCTGGGGTCCCTTTCTGGGGTCCCAGCTGGGAAAGGCCACTGGGGCAGATCCCACTTAAAGCAAAAGCCGCAGTATAGAAACATTTAGATTTACAAGCAAAAGGGGTAGCTATTTGTTTCACAATAGAATTATTCAGCCTAAGCCTACAAATGATTCACCTAAAACATAAGAGATTCCTCCAGGTACCAGGGGACGGGGTGTGAAATTCAATTTAAGAACATTTTGCTATGGGTAAAAGGAGACCTC